ATCAGTGTACTTCGTTCAGTTGCGTATTGCACAGGCCAGACATTCTCTCCCATGGGGTGTTAACTTGTCCTGGACCTGTATACTGCTAGTTGGTGACTGGTGAGCCCATTCTCTCTGATCTTCTGCACATGTCCGTGGCAATAATTCCTCTTCTCTCACATTTATTCAGTTAGGGCTGTTGAGGTATGTTTTATCCCAGTTGTTATATTTACCTAAAAAATACAGAAACCCGGCTGAACGTTGAAGGGATTTACGTTGTGCACTCTCTGGCATTCAACCACGCATTCAAGATTATAGTAGCTAGAAGCAGTGTCAAGTATCTCACTAATTTATACTCAATAAAAGACTAAAAACACAATATTTTTCATTTTCTTTAAAAATCTGGGACGGAATTTTATTCATAGATGCAAGGGGCGTGGAGGGAAGGACCAATTCCTAGAGGCGTGGTAGTAAGGTTAAGAACCACTGGTATAGAGCAATTACTTTTGAAGGGTTCCACGTTCCTGTATCCATGGATAATCTTTGGCTCAAAACCAACCAGTAAATTAGTTTTACAAAATTTGCTTATTGAATGTAAGATTCATTAGCATTGAGTTGGCATTTGTTGGGCTTATTCCATAGTGCAAATAAGTTTCAGGAATGATAACATTCAGTTTTGTGGTGCATAGTTTGTAAGTGTAATTTTCTTACAAAAGTCAGATTGTCCTAGAAATTTCAATAAATAAAAAAATCACCATATATATATATATATATATATATATATATATATATATATATATATATATATATATATATATATATATTATAATATATATATGTGTATGTGTTTGTTGTGTTATGTGTGTGTGTGTATGTGTGTGTTATGTTGTGTTGTGTGTGTTGTGTGTGTGTGTATATGTGTTATATGTGTTGTATGTATATGTATGTATGTATGTATGTTTTTTTTTTTTTTTTTTTTTTTTTATATATATAATATATATATATATATATATATATATATATATATAATATATATATATATATATATATATTATAATATATATATATATATATATATATATATATATATATATATATATATATAATATATATATATATATATATATAATATATATATATATATATATATATATATATATATATATATATATATATATATATATATATATATATTATATATACAGTTGTACCCCACTTAACACGGTCAATTGAACCCAGAGGGTCCCGCGTTAAGTGAAATCCGCGTTAAGTGAACAACAGAACATATGGGATTAATTCCAATAGAAACCGGCCCGACCCCCAAACTCCACTTTTTGAAGGCACATACCTATGTTGTAGTAAAATAACATCTTAATTTTATGATGGGACATGCACACAATTAATACTTAAGAGAAATAGAGAAATACAGTCGCCAAGTTAATGTCCATTCAAATAATGGACTCAACTCCCTCCCCCTCTCACACTACACTGCCGGCTCTTCCCTCTCAGAGAAATTTTTGGGGGAAAACCACTAAATTTTAATAAATAATACCTCAAACTAAAGTTAGGATAATACAATTGACATTGCTGGATTCCTTGTAAGACCAGGAATATTTTGAATATAAATGTCATATATTTTGCACAAAAGATAACATAGTTACTCTGAGAAAAATTTTTATCTAAAATTTGTATGTCTAATGCAAAATATATGATGTTTATATTCAAAATGATCACCAAATTATAAGAATTCCAGCAATGTAAATTATATTCTGGCCGGGTAATTTGCATGAATTTTATGAGCTAAAACAGGCAGTCAGGCAGGGTGGCGGGTGGGGCAAATCTAAAAATAGCGTCTCCAGCCGGACACTCACCGCGTATATGTGGAAAAAATCCGTGTTAAGTGAAAGTTCAGCTCTGGCGAGGCACCGCGTATATGATAAAACGCGTTAAGTGAAACCGCGTTAGGCGGGGTAATACTGTATATATATATATATTTTTTTCCCTTAACGTTATTAGGATATGCTTTGGTTTACATTTTTACTGTATACTGTACTGTATTCTATTGTCTCGGTCACAAAATAGAATCCTTTAAAATTATGTGATGGTTACCAAATGGTCATGAGTATCTCTCATTTCAGATGAATCTGGCTCACCTGTGACATATATGAGTGCTACTCTTTCTTATGACCGTGCTGGTATTGATGATAACATAGCAGCTATCTTTTTGGATACACTGAAGCAACTTTTGGAGGATCCTACCACCATGATACTTGGGACAAACACTTCAGTTAATCATCCCCTGGCGGCACTGTTATAAATGTTTTTAATTACTTTTCTGTTGGTACATTCAGGAAATATATTTCTCATTAAAAAAAACTATCTGCGATATACTTTACTATACAGTCTCAATGAAGATTCTTCGAACACTGATGGAGACAGCTGGCAATTCGAGGCCGTTTGTTTACTATAGTACGTAGTAAAAATTATGAATACAGTAAAAGTGATCAGTGATTGGTTACTTAGTTCCCCATTGCTTAATTAATGATTGGGCTTTGTTGTTTCGTATTATATTATACTACGTAATATAGTAAACAAATGGCCTTGAGTTGCCAGCTGTCTCCAGCAGTGTTCAAAGAATTTTGAACGAGACTGTACATTTCATTAGATACAGTTCTGTACTGTAATTCAAAAATTAAATTACTGTACAGTGCAACTCTCACTACTGTCAGAAAAAGCAAAGTTGCATCGCAATTCTTTGAAATTCTAATGCATAGCATTTAAATATGCAGTATACTGGAACACTAATCACTATGTAAATAAGTAAACATTGACAGTAGTACATTGATATTTAAAAATTTTCTAAGTATGAAACAATGATACTGTGCCACAATATTTCACCATAAATAGTCGTTTTAATATATTCCCAGACATTAATTAGTATTACTCATCTATACTCTCATTCATTAATTATTTGTAGATTTCTTTTGTATATACAGCAAAGCTTGCCAAATAAATTATTGAATAGTATAGAATACTTTTTTATTATTAACTTACCCAAATACTAATTAGAAATGAGTAGTAGCTATTCAGGTATCCTTAACAGCTATCATTACATTTATAAGATATGCTTTCTGTAATGCTGAACTTGTTTCACACAAAATTTGAGGCAATTAGTCTTGGGGAAAGATATTTACAGTATAGCATTAAAAGTACAGTGGATACTTAAGTTTAGCGGTCAAGCTAAAATTACCAAAAACTCGAGTTTAGTGACCCCTACTTGCTAGATTAGCGCATCGCACTAATGTAGTGGCCGTGTGCTTACACTTGTGATGTCATGCAGCCATTGTTTTTTTAATCTATCACGTTAGTCATGCATGCTGTTTGAGTTCGTGATTGCTTCTCCCTCTACCGTGTAACTCCGCGATGTCTGACACACAACCAGAACTCAGTGGGAGTGGAAAACGGTCTATAAGTGGGAAAGGAAGCCAGGCAGAATGTCTTGGTAAGAAGAAGCTGCTACTTAGTCTCAAGGAGAAAGGAGAGATTTGAGATAAATTTGAACATGGTATGGGTCCTTCTGCAGTGGCTAAGTTATATGGAGTGAATGAGTCTACAATACAGGGCATGAGAGCAAAGAAAGCAGTAAAACATCGATATAACGAGAGATACGTTCCGAGAGCAGTCGCTTTAAACCGAATTCGCACTAAATTGAAGTGTTGTTTCAATGGAATAATTTAGTTTGGTACTTGAGACAAACACAAAATACTAAAAAGACTGACAGTCTACCCAGATGCACCTCAGCCCATCCCCTAGAATAAACAAAACCTTGTTTTTTGTAGTATTATGTTAAAACAAACACTCATAAATCAACACAGTCAAAATTAAAGGATGCAAAATGGTCTGTTTACTGGCTGGGAAGATGGAGGGGGGGGGAAGGGAGGTGAGGTGATATGTTTGACAGTTGATGCCAAGGTCTATTGCTTATTTATTTATCTGTCTGTCCTTAAGAGTGACTAAGTTTTTCTCTTATAAAATGTCACTGAACTGACCTGGGAGAATATAATTAGCATTGCTGGAATTCTTATAAGATAGTGATTAATTTGAATATAAACATGCCATAGTTTGCCTTAAATATACAAATTTTAGTTCTAATTACAAATGGCTAAAGATTTTTCTCTTTTGTGCAAAATATATAACGTCTATATTCAAATGATTCGCTGTCTTGCAAGGATTCTAGCAATGCAAATTATATTCTCCTAACTTTAGTTTGTGATAGTATATAAGATAAAAATTTAAAGCCTACTGTATAACCACCAATCCCTGGCTGGAGGGAGGGAGGGAGGGAGGAAGGGGACGTGACAGTGACATGTTTGACAGTTGGTGCGGAAGGTCTAGTGAAGTATTTATTTGTTTATTTACGTCCTTTAGGTTGAGTTTTTGTTTTTTGTTTATAAAATGTCACAGAAGTGACCAGGGAGAATATAATTTACATTGCTGGAATTTTTATACCCTGTAAGATAGTGATTAATTTCAATATAATCATGCTATATTTTGCACTAGACAAAAATTTTAGTAATCATTTAATACATTATTTTGAATACATGTACAGTACAGCTTTGCCCTTAGGACAGTGTAGCGTGCCCAGAGAAACATTAATACGTATGCGCCAGATTGACTCGCGTAGGAAAGATTCGCTTTAAATTAAAACATTGTCCTTATTTGTGGGTTTCGCTTTAAATCAATAATCTTAAATTGAATCGCTTTAAATCGACGTTCTAATATATATATATATATATATATATATATATATATATATATATATATATATATATATATATATATATAGCAGCAGCAAGTATACATATGTATGTAATATATATGTTACATGAGCAGCATATGTATATGTTGGTATACATATACATATATATATATATATATATATATATATATATATATATATATATATATATATATATATATATATATATATATATATATATATATATATATATATATATATATATATATATATATATATATATATATAAAATCTCAGCCCATCTATAGAAGCAACAGTACCACCTCTTGCAGCATGCAAAATCTTGTTTTATCTGCTTTCTTTGCTCTCATGCCCTTCAGATGTTACGTGGTGTGAAAAATTCAACCACTCATCAATTAGAATCGAAAAGTGACATCACCACAGCCACTCCCCAATTAGAGGGACAGTTCATGGCAAGTCTTAGTCAGACTCAGTCACTATGGAGGCAACATCATCCACAAGCTCCTCAACTGGAGGAGCTTGATAGCTACTTGGCATGCCCAAAGGGATGGAGTGGAGATACAGTATTGAGGTCTTTCCCGAAATTATGTGTCTTATCTCTTAAGCTTAACACCCCTCTACCTGCATCTGCTGTTTGTGAGCATCTGTTTAGTAATGCTGGGTTTATTATTTAATTAATTTATTACAATCCAGGGTGGTCGACAAGCTGAGTCACAAGATCATGTGAGCAGACACTAATACTGTACAAAGGTACTCGTGTCTCGCATGACTTGTGATATGGAGACAATATTGATATGCTTTAAGGACAATTGGAATTAGCACTCACCAAAGCATGGGTAGCGCAAAAGAATTAAATCTAGATTAATACGAATAAGTAGATGACATATAGTGGTTCTTGACTCGTCCTGTGGTAGGAGGTCCCTGACTGACAGTGGGACAGTCAAGGCAATAGTGTTGAAGGGTGCTAAGCGATTGGACAGTTACAGAGCTTACAGGAAGAGAAGTGTGAGTCATCCCCCACCTCAGATACTTGCCAGATAGATCTGTATCCTAACCTAATGTGAGCAGAGACAACATTATGTCTGTGGACCGTAAGTCCATGTCGACATAGTTTTGGATGGATATATTTTCAGCCCATTCACTATCCCTGTGATGGATTGTAGGGAGAAAAGTGGCTGCACATATTATCTTTCGGTAGGTCATGCTGGACTTATATTTAGACCTAAAATATCCTGACTGGACAGCCATAATTTCGAGAATCAGCTATTGATTAATCTCAACAAAAAGATTTGCAAATAAACATGTGTAATGCTGTGTCTTATTTTTATCTTTAGTTAACTAGTTTTTTTTTAATTTACAGTGGATTTATTTTAATATTTGAGACAAAAAAAATTTACTTTTTACTTTCAGTGCTTAAGTACTTCATGAATGAGATACTTTTTTACTTCTACCGGAGTACATTGAACTTAGGATACTTTACTTCTACTTGAGTAATATTTTTCCAATGTAACAATACTTTTACTTAAGTAACAATGTCTGGTACTTTTTACAACTCTGCCAACAACACATCTACATTAATCTCTCCATTAGCACCAATACTGTACCAGTTGAGTACAATTTTGCTAGAATAACATCTATCTACAAGAAAGGCGACAAGTCTGTTGCAGGTAATTAGAGGTCATTCTATTGTATCTAAAGTTCTAGAGAGAGCAGTTTATGTTAACTGGTGGAAAGATATCTCGGGGGGTGGGGGGGTGGGTATAACATTTTGTACAGATTCCAATCACATTTTAGGGGCTCTCACTCAACTAACACCAGTTTGATCCATCTCACTGACTATATCAGATCCCAAACAGCTCAGGGAAATTACAGAGGTATGGTAATGCTAGACTTGCAAAATCATGCCATTAGCCTGAGGAGTCCTACAAGGGAATATCCTAGGATTTTGATCTTCCTCTGTTATGTAAATGACATGCCCATTAGTGTTAATTGTGAACCTTTGTTGTATGCCGATGACAGTGCTCTTTTAATGCCAGGTAAAGATCCAAATGATGTAGCTAATGAGTTATTATCTGAACTGGAGTCATGCAAACAATGGCTCATTGACAACAAATATCCGGATATCTTGGAAAGATTGAAGCAATATTACTTGGGTCAAAAAGAAAGTTAAAAGGGTGAATGAATTCATGTACTGAACAATGTGGGAATGAACCCATCTCAACTGTAAACTTGGTGAAATACCTTGGGTAAAGATTCGTTTTAGTTACACCATGGAAACTAACAAAAATGGGTTTTCTTAGTGTATTTTGGGCTAATATTAACGACTACACTGCTGATGCATTATTTGTTTTGATGCTTACATTCTTATTATATTTTCATCTGTGAGTTCTGATTCCTTGGGATGGAAATAGATGAAGCTGGATCCTTGCTGGTTGCCAAACTAGAGCAAGTTGGGAAAGATAGTCTCGCTGAGACTGAGGAAGTAGCTGATAGAATGGAGGAAGTAGTAAAGAAGAGTTATGCTCAAGCTTTAGCAGGGCTATAAAAGGTGGCGGAGAGTAATACAAGATCCCAACAGGTTCTACAGCAGCTAGGGACTCTGAAAAAGTGTGTTGAAGAGATGGCAACTAGCCATCTCCTTGTCATGAGGGACTTCAAGTCTGGCAACATCAACTGGAGAAATGAGACTATGCCAAATGACTAATATAACCCTGCTACTCTTTTAGTAGAAACTGAGA